AATTTAATTCGAGGACCATCCTCGTCAATGTTGCAATGGCAGAGAAATCTGGGGTGTTAGATTGTCTATGGTTTGTGTACATGTTTCTTAGTGCAGCTATGCCGTCATCGTGAGGAATATTTGTATATAATGAAGAGACATCAAGGGTAACCAAGTACGAGTTTTTCGGCACACAGATACCCGCAATGTCTCGAAGAAAATGTGTGGTGTCTTTTATGTACGACGCGAGGGTGCATGGAATGTGGCTTATTAGTTTGTCCACGTACCCTGATATGGGTTCAGTTATTGTACCGATGCCTGATATGATTGGTCGACCTGGGTTACCGGGTTTATGAATTTTGGGAGGATGTAGAAGCGACCTGGACGAGGGTATGCTGCTTGCATCAGTTTGTGGTCAGTGTTGGTTATCTTTTCTGCGTCCAACAGTTTCTTTAGTTCTGTTGATACGATACGTTTGTATTCGTCTGTCGGATCACCTGGGAGGCGTTCGTAAAATCTTGAGTCGTCTAGTTGGCGGTATGCTTCTTGTAGGTAGTTGGTTGTATTAAGGACTACAATTGCTCCTCCTTTGTCAGCGGGTTTTATTGTTTTGTCTGTCCTAGATGCCAAATTTTTCATGCTTATTTTTTCAGATTTGGTCAAGTTTTCTCGGTTTCCTTTCTGTCTGTGGTATTCGTGTACTATATCTTTCTGTACTGCGGTGATATAAAGGTCCAAGCACTTGTCTCGATTACTGTTCGGTGTCCAATCATTTGATTTACGACGGTGAATTGTTTTGTGGTTAGAAGGCCTATCCAAGAAATATTCGCGCAACCTTAAGCTTCGAGCGAAGTTGTCGAGGTCTCGGAGTAAGTGGAATTCATCGAAAAATTCGTGTGACACTGTGGTTGTAAACTTATCGGACACGAGCTTGTCACCTGACGAAGTAAAACTGCTATCTAAGGGACTAAGCTTCTGCCCGACCACAAAATTTTTCGATGAATTCCACTTACTCCGAGACCTCGACAACTTCGCTCGAAGCTTAAGGTTGCGCGAATATTTCTTGGATAGGCCTTCTAACCACAAAACAATTCACCGTCGTAAATCAAATGATTGGACACCGAACAGTAATCGAGACAAGTGCTTGGACCTTTATATCACCGCAGTACAGAAAGATATAGTACACGAATACCACAGACAGAAAGGAAACCGAGAAAACTTGACCAAATCTGAAAAATAAGCATGAAAAATTTGGCATCTAGGACAGACATAACAATAAAACCCGCTGACAAAGGAGGAGCAATTGTAGTCCTTAATACAACCAACTACCTACAAGAAGCATACCGCCAACTAGACGACTCAAGATTTTACGAACGCCTCCCAGGTGATCCGACAGACGAATACAAACGTATCGTATCAACAGAACTAAAGAAACTGTTGGACGCAGAAAAGATAACCAACACTGACCACAAACTGATGCAAGCAGCATACCCTCGTCCAGGTCGCTTCTACATCCTCCCAAAAATTCATAAACCCGGTAACCCAGGTCGACCAATCATATCAGGCATCGGTACAATAACTGAACCCATATCAGGGTACGTGGACAAACTAATAAGCCACATTCCATGCACCCTCGCGTCGTACATAAAAGACACCACACATTTTCTTCGAGACATTGCGGGTATCTGTGTGCCGAAAAAACTCGTACTTGGTTACCCTTGATGTCTCTTCATTATATACAAATATTCCTCACGATGACGGCATAGCTGCACTAAGAAACATGTACACAAACCATAGACAATCTAACACCCCAGATCTCTCTGCCATTGCAACATTGACGAGGATGGTCCTCGAATTAAATTCATTCGAGTTTAACCAAGAGTATTTTCGACAAATCAGCGGGACCGCTATGGGCACCAAAATGGCACCTAATTATGCCAACATATTTATGGGAAAGCTAGAATCTGAATTTCTTGCACAAAGTTCCTTGAAACCAATGTTATACAGAAGATACATAGACGACATCTTTCTTATTTGGACCCACAGCGAGGACGAACTTCTCAGCTTTATAGACACTTACAATGCTGTACACCCGAACATACACTTCACACACACATACTCCCAAGTTACCGTAAATTTTCTTGATGTTACCATAACGATAGAAGAAGAGAAGCTCTCTACAACCCTATATCGCAAACCAACGGATCGACAACAATACCTTCATTACCAAAGCGATCACCCACGCCACTGTAAAAAACGTATTCCATACAGCCAGGCTCACCGGTTTAAGCGAATCTGCTCTAGAGACGCTGACTTTGACACGAGCTCACAGAGGCTAAAACTTATGCTCGAGCAACAAAAATACCCCCCACATGTAATTAATGACGCTGTTCAAAAAGCGAGAAAACTAAAGCGTGAAGACTTACTTATGAAGCGACCACCACGAGAAGACCCACAACGAACAAACCTCTGCTTGACTTACAGCACAAACTTCCCCAATGTAAACAAAATCCTTAAACGACATTACAACATTCTGGAACAAAGTGAACGTCTGAAACGCGCATTCCCATCCGCTCCAGGCGTCGTTTACCGACGACTACGTAACCTCAAAGACACCCTGGTCCACTCCCAAATTAACACATCACCCCCCAATAATTCATGCCGCCCTTGCTTAAAGCCACGATGTCTTGTATGTAAGGCGATGCGAGAAACAGACAAAGCAACCAGCACGCAATCCAAGTTTTCGATTAACATACGAGGAAACCTAACATGCGATTCTTCTAATGTGGTGTACCTACTCGAATGCAACGTGTGTGGTATGCAGTACATCGGACAAACAGAAACACCATTTAGGATTCGCTTCAATAATCACAGAGCCCATGCGAAATCAGCCCCAAGTCTACCTCTATCAAAACATCTCAATCTTCCCGACCATGCATTCGACAAACTATCAGTAACGCTCTTAGAGACGGGATTTAAATCAAATCGAGAACGTGAACAACGAGAGTCATACCTTATCCACCGATTTAACACCCTCGATAGAGGAATAAATGAGAATCCTGGTACACTTGCAGCAATTAAAGCATTAGAAAACAATAACGGCAACGATGAAAATAGTAACTGAGTTCACGGCACTGCAGCTGCGAAGGGCACTGGACAACCTAAAACAATTCCAAGTGTAACTACTCTTCCTAAGTGCAGCTGTCGTCTGTTTTCTGTTTTATTTCTGTTTTATTTTACTACCCAATCAATTGTGCCATGCACGACATGCCCAACAGCAACCATGTGCACAGCCGGGAGGCCCCCACGACACGCGTAATTTAGAAGCGGGCCAGGAATTCGCATTGCACGCGCTTGCACAGCCTACCGCAATAGGGGCACCCCTATTTTTACGACGAAATGTTGACAGGGCGCGGAGTAGTTAAAGGCTTAGAACTTCCTAAAATGCCCGCTGACCAGCCTCTGCCACAATACGCGGCCCCCGTCCTTCTACGACGAATTGTTTACGGGACCCCGAGCAGTTAAAGGCTTAGGACTTCCTGAAAAGCTCTTTTTTGCCCCACACCGAACCGCCAGTGCCAGGAGGGACCGTCTGATCGGGAGTAATGCGCTAGTGAACGGAAACATACACAGACCGCTGACATCAGAAAGGTGAAGGGGAGAGAGGGGAGAGAGATGGGGGGGAGTGGAGGGAAAAGTGGAAGGGGGGCACCCGAGGGGCGTTCACCGTATATTATTTTTATCTTTTTTCTTTTTTTTCTCTCCTTTTCTTTTCTTTCTTTTTTTTTCCCCTCTTACCTTGCCCTCTGATTTGAGATTGTATAAAGCTGAGCACCGACAAACTGTATCTATTCCTGATGAAGGCCAGACTCTAGGCCGAAACGTCGAAATAAACCACGTTGTGACCGCTCACGGAGGATCTACTAGACTATATGCAACGCTACGGCCACTCAACCACCATGCCTGCCTATATATATATAGATATATATATATATATATATATATATATATATATATATATATATATATATATATATATATATATATATATATACATACATATATATATATATATATATATATATATATATATATAGTTATATATATATATATATATATATATATATACGTCGGTGCTACTTCCCGGCGCTGCGTAAACATAGTAGCAGCGGACAGCGTCATGTAGGTAAATGCATTCCAGCAGGTCTCGCGTTTTTTGTTGGCAGGGGCAGGGTAATACTCGCTACTAAATAACTTAAATAAGAACGGATAAAGCTTATTATGTCGTTTAGATTATCCTCACGTCCGAGCACCTTCTACTTACCACTAGGACGCCTCGCTACGACGTATAAACACGTGCTAATACAGAGAGCGGTCACACACAATATTCAAAATGTTTTTCTGGCTTAAAACAAAAATGAATTTAATAAAGCTTTCTGAGTGAGTAGGCAACGAAGGTAGCTAGTAAATCTACTATTGGGCATAGTTTTACTAGGACCGCCTATTGGTGAATTTACGACCACGTGTGTAAAATGAACAATTTTGCAAACTTGTCGCCACCTGTACACTTTATTTCGCACTATATACGCGTGAATGTATTTAGTTCATAGTAAAACATATTGGAAATATGCTGATGTCAATTATCACCATTTGCTAAACGTTTATTTCTATTAAAAACACTAATACAGAACATAATCTCCGTATTCGAGACAACATAAAAAACCACCTGCAACGGAAAAGTTCATAAAACTTATTTTTTAGTATACAGCTCATAATTTTTCTAAAAGTAAAATTTTGACTTAACCCAATTTTGACTTAACCCAATCGGCCTTGGGATCGCCCTTAGAACTGGCCTTCATCTGGGTAGTTTGAATTTCAATCTTCATTTAATTCTATAGGAAATGGACGAAGGCCCGAACAAAAACAGGTGATTCCCACTTGACGAAAATTGGGGCCCCCTTTACAAGGTATACAGCAAATAGAGGTTTAATACACACATGTGTAGCCATGAGCACCTTTACCTTGAATGCTCCGACGCGTGGCCTCGGCTCGATTGGACTGAGTTCAACGCCACCAAACGTTGAAAATGATATGCTTGCTGCAGTTAAGGATATATGTGGCGCGCGTCGATTTCACTAGGAAATTTATGTTTCCAGCCTGCCTGACCGGCGTGTCGAATGCACTCACTTCGCGTCTCGTTTTCGCCACGTTTTGCTCATGGCTACTGTTATCGAACACCCATGGAATTCGTTCGCAATGGTTTATTATCGAGACAAGTGTCAGACAACGAGCGCTGTGGGTGCGCGCGATAAGGTAGCCACGAGCGATACGGGGCGAAAACAGGATGCAAAGCGAGTGCATTAGACCCGCCGGTCAGGCAGACTGGAAACGGAAATTTACTAGTGAAACCGATGCGCACTACATCTATCCTTAACTGCAGCGAGCATATCACTTTCAAGACTTGGTGGCGTTGCCCCCAGTCCAAGCGAGCTGATGCCACGCGTCGAAGTGTTCAAGTTAAAGGTGCTGACTGCTGTACATACGGTCTATTCAATATCACAGAAAGCGCAGGCAATTGGCGTGTATAAATGAATAATGCTGCTGTAGTCACTCGCGTATCAGGAAAAACAAGAAGTAAATAGAAACAATGCTTTGCAATATGACAAAACAGTTCGTAGATTTTTGCCGTATATCATTTAAAGCTATTCGTCGAGTTACATCAGTACCACAAACAGATGAGAACAGCGACACTCAATCAGGCATTCGTAGGCATCATTTTGCTGCAAACCAGTTGTGTAAATCCCTTTTTGTTATGTCAGGAATATCGATTTTTTGTTGAATAAACATATTTAACAATACAAGATGGATATATCGAAGGCTTTTCTCACCGTATTTGTTTCTTGAAAATGGTGCTTGCCAGTATACATTGTTACGCGTAGCAGGCAGGGGTGTTCTCGATTTCAGCTCCGCTAGTGCAAATATTATTTGTTTATTATTATTTTAACACTGTTTGTGTCTCGTAGATAGAGTGTACGAGTAAAGACTTGGCATGGAGGTAAAATTGAACCTGATGAGCAATTGCTTCGTGTGTGCTTCTTATGGTACGCCGGCTATTTGTAGTAGTCCTTTTCTTAAGCGTATGCAGGTGATTTAAATTAGATGATGTGGTTGTGGCCCAGACTAGAAAGCAGTAGCTTAAGTTGAACATAAGTATATTGCACTATTATATTCATTTTTATATATGAAGATAGAAGTGTATGTAGTGTGGCCATTACGCCAACGCACTTCGAAAGTCGTTTGGTTGCATAATTAACATACGTGTCCCACAGCCTATGCCTATTGAAGTATACACACAATGTTTTTATACAATCTACAATCTGAAGATAATACTGACCAAGAATGATTTCGTGTGTCAGTTCACGTCGACATTTTTTGGAGAGAAAAGCACTGCTTTTGTTTTAGTGACACTAATATGTAAAGAAATAGGACCACTGCATGTGCTTAAACTTTCAAGACATTTGTTAGCATCTGACTGGAAAGTTTAGTGCGGTGTGTTAGTAAAACAAAGGGTTACATAATCTGCATATATGACGCACTTTTTTTCGGCAGTAATTTCAACAATACTGTTTACGTATAGATTAAACAAGAGTGGCTCTAGAGAATACTTTCATGAAGTACTAGAGTGCTCGTAGATTTCAAAGACAGTATACTATCGCCTATTCGCACAGATTATCTTGGGTGCTGCAGCTAGGAAGTCAATAGCGAGAGTGGTTTACCTCTGATTTTATAACGATCAAGTTTTCCTAGTAGTGTGTTGTGGTTTAACCGATCGAACGCTTTCAAAAAATTTATGTATAGACCAATAACAAACTGCTTCTTTTAAAACACCGGTACAATTATTTGTTTTTGGGTTAATAAACCGAGTTCAGTTGACCTTCTTTTGCTGAATCCATACAGACACCTATTCTTTAAGCCAAAGTTGTTTATTAAAGTTGAAGTTATAGCTTACAATCACTTTTCCAGTACTTTAGAGAATGCTGGGAGTATCGAGATGGGACAATAGTTGTTGAGGTTCATTTTGTCTCTCTCTCTGAAAAGGATGTTGACTTTTAAATATTGCATATTTGTGGGATTGTACCCTTAGAAAACGCTAAGTTGTAAATATGGGCAAGAAACTGTGGGGTTAAGGTTGCCGTGTACTTTATCGGCATAATTTGTAAGTTTTCACTGTCCTGAGCCGAGCTATTTTCAAATAAGCTCAAGATAGTTTAGACCTCAGATGAACGTGCAGGTTTTAGGTGAAGGCTACTGTCATTTTTGTAAACGGCGTTCGCAGCTTCGGAGTGGTAAAAACTCGTAATTAGATTCACGAAAAGAGCATTAAATGCTTGAGCCAAGTTATTACCACCCAAAGTCGGGTAGTTTATTGTTAATAGGACGAAATCTTTATCAAGAATGGAAGAATTGAAAAGTTCAGTTATTTTCCACGCAATTCTTGGTTTCCAATATGGTGTTTTTTATATAGATGCAAATATATTTCTTTGGCCTTACAAAGAAATTAGGTAGTTTGATTTCTTTGTTGTCTGAATGTCTCCCAGTCTTCGGGGTTGCGTGTACTTCCGAATATTCTAAATATCTTCTGTTTACTCCTGATTAATTTGAGACAATTATTTGTAATGCAAGCCTCAAGAGGTCGCTGCCGTTTTTATTGTACTGATGGGAGAGCATTCATGATATATTTTCGCAAATAAATCAATAAATGAATCGTATGCTTCGTGGAGTCAGTGTGTGTGGCATTGTACATTTGATTCTAGTTAACGTTTCTTTTAATTTAGCACCAGAGCTTTGAAGCACACCAGGTGTGATATTTTGTAATTTTTAACTTTAGGAATGACTTTGTTATTCTTTTGTAATGAAATTTGCAACGTAAAAATAAAGGCATATTGTCACTGACATATGCTGCAATGAATCCGCTTCCAGTCACATTGGGAGTAAGGTTACCATTGAAGAGGTCTATTGCGATGCTTGTGTACATGGTGCTGCGTGTTGGTATATCAATGACGTTATGGTAACCTTGTGATAGTAATACAGTATGAAATTTATGTGACACACATGTCTTTGGCATATCGATATTTCAGTCCCCTACTAAAATAAGAGTTACATTATTTTGATTCACATAACCAAGTAACGCTTCAAGACATTCAAAGAAAGAAGCTAAATTTCCGTGTGGTGGGCGATTAAACACGGAAAAGACATGAGCATTAGACTTCACAGCAAGACTTTCAACATAAGACGAAGCGAGAAAAAATTGGGGAGTATTATCATTGAATACCTTTTTCACATGCATAAATAACCCACGACCTAGTCAGCCATCTCGATTTACAAAGAAAGTAGACTATTTTATGCCTCTGACGATATAGCTTTGAGACGCGAACCACATGTCTCTGTTAACATTATTATGTAGAAACAGAATTGAAAGCCCTCTAAGAGAACGTGTAACTGCTCTAAATTCTCTCGCGCAGAACGCAGTTTAAATGAAAACAATTCAGTCCCTTTCTATCCTCAAAGGCATATGTGCGAGTCACTTCAACATATTTTAGTGCCATTTTGGTAATGTTGTTCCTTAATGATGCGTAAACTAAGTTTATTAGATCTTTTCCAGGTTATTAGAGGTGCGCACTTGATTGGCACGCGACTGCTCTTCTTTTCGTGTTAGTATTTCCCCACCCTCAATCCACACAAACGTCAACCCTGATGAACGTTCTTTTTCAATTGGCATGCAGAGCAACCACTTCAATGCTGGGCAGGTGTGTTGGTTCACAAACACTGCTTTCTTAGATGCATTGCCCAAATCGGATGTTCAAAGGCGAGGTTTTGTTTACCTTTAACAGAAAAGAGTCACGTTTTCCTTGCTTCTTAAACTAGGCTATGATGTTTAGGCAGGTCTGATAGTTTCGTGCCCTCACTGTGTGTGCAATATAAATGTCAACTGGGGTTAAAGGGTCACTCACACGTGCTACTATTTTGCATATATTGTTTAAAATTTTTTTATTGCGACAGCAATACTATAAACCCTCTAGAGTAGATTTTACCGCCGTCGTCGGCATTGACGAGTGCCGTCACACACCGTACATGCATACGTATTTATATATATGAAAACGCAAGAAAAAAGATTACAGAAAAAGACCACCGCGTGTGGAATCGAACGTCCTAGCTCTTGCTTGTGAATGCGCGGCGTTAGCCACTTAGCCACGAAGGAGCCCCTCCTTCAACATTGACGCGGCAAGCTACTCATATCTACCACTTATCGCTGGCAATGCCCGTTTTGGGGAAACTTTCGTGTTTCCAGCACTACCAGAGATATGCTGCAATAAGCGCACGTCACCAGATCATCACGACGCGGCGACGCGTGCTCATGCGTTGATCTCCCTCTCGTAATTTTCCCCGCGGAGGTTAGGGAGGGGGGTTAGACGCTCACGCGCGTGCCCTTATACCACGGTTGAGAATCGCACGCCTTGGGCTTTCGCGGAAACGATTCTATTGTAGTTACTGTGCGCACAAAGGTTACTGCCCCCTCTGCACAGTCAACGTTTTGGGAAAAGGGCGCGCTTTTCAGAAACAGCGAAGTAACAATTGCGGCATGTATCTGTACCTGTGAGTAGGTTTCGTGCGTCATTTGTGCGTGAGCAACACGGGGCACGTTTCGATCTGTAAGCCATTCTTACCATGACGTTTCAATTTCTAGCTATCGCATTCAATTATTGCTTTTTCGGCAAAGCTGTGTGTTTTTCCTTTCTCATCAACTCCGCTAATCTCAATATTGGATTTCTGAGAGTATTGCTTGCTAGCTGCCAACCTAAAATCCTTCTCTTCAAGCTCTCTTTTCATGCGTTTGCAGTCAGCCGTCAATATTTTATTTTATTTCTTTAGTGCCTCATTTTCTTTTAAAAGATTAGCATTCTGTTGCGTTATGACTTCTAACCTCTCAATGAAGTGCTCTAGACTTTTTTTTTTTCAAACTCCTTCAATTGCTTCCTGAGATTGCGTTCAAGTTTCGACTTGAAGTAAAGTTCCATCTTACCTCTACTCATATATATATATATATATATATATATATATATATATATATATATATATATATATATATATATATATATATATATATATATATATATATATATATATATATACATGCCAATATTTCTGCAT